TGTTTATAGGTAACTCTAATAAGTGCAAAACCAAGAGGTATGTTGCTTTAAAAAACCACACAAAGGTTGTAAGATATGCATATAAAAGTTTATATACCATGTTTGACCAGACAATAAAAGATTGTGTCCGCTTCCAAAATTTGATCTTCTGCTTAATTTTTAATAATTTGCTTGGAAAAGCATCAAATTTATGGATTTTAAAACCCAAAGGGTCTCAATGATTTATATTTTTGTTTGAACACACTAGGATCTAGTCATCTTAGAATAAGATTCAATATCTTGTGTGTCCTTCAAATGTTCAAGTCAAGCAAGTTAAGAAATTGGGTTGCTTCCAACAATGCCCAATTTTATTTTTTTTTCCTTTGAAGACTTGTTTCATGAAAAGTCTCCCAAAAAAATGCTGAGAATCTAGAAGAGTGAATGATTTGACCAAAGTGTGGCATGGGTCAAAATCAGTGGGTCAGGGCAGGTCCTCTCCTAGAATCAAAAACATCAGAAACCGAGAGACGAGTCTTCAAAAGTTTTGTTGAAAAACCCAAGAAGAAACTTCCAAACTTATTTTTCTTGCCTGCATATATTTTTGACTTTTGTTCATGCAGATTTTTGTTTTTCTCCTTAACAAAGCGTGTGGAATCTGTCCCCGTTGGCCGACACGGTTTTAGGAGTGCGTATTTGTTTAAATAATAAATATTTATGTTTCATTACTTATAGAATAAAATTTCGATCCTTTTCTTCAAAAATTCTTTATAAAGTTATTTAAACTATGGAAAAACGTCTAATTGACTAGCCAAGAAAAAAAAAATGAAATTAGGGGTTTCTATTATTATTATTTGTTAAAGAATCATAGAACAAGAAGATGGAAATTCAAAACTCCTATGCTAATGTTGCGAGGCCAAAAGCTTTGTCACTCAATCCGAAATGACTTCAACGAACCATCATAATTGCTAGTTTAACATTCAGAGCTATGCTATGTGATCTCCTAACCCAAACTTGAAAGACAAGGAACTTGGACTAGGTTATTAGAGTAGTTATTCTCAAGGCAGATGGCAGATGGCAGATGGCAGCAGATCCTTACGATTCGAAAACATGTATTATGCATGAAATGCCCTAGGTTCAAATTTTGACCAATTTGACCAGCAATCAACAAGCTGGCCCTTATGTCATAGTTTAAAAGCACTCAAACTTAAAAAGGTTTGATTTTAAAAAATAAAGGATGTTCCGAGATTGTGTTTTGATTTTAGCAGGCTCCTTGCCAAGACTTGTTAATGCACAATCAGAAGGCATAAATATCGAGGCACGTAGACCACAAAGGTCCACCACCGCCACAAAGAAACAGTAGCCATACCAAAGCACAGCTATAGCACTAAAGCAACACTACAACAGCACGAACAACAGCACCACAACATAACACCCAAGGTCCAAGTAGCTGCACCACAGCAGTATTAACAAGGAAACTGTAGTAGCACCATTAGAGGCAGCAAGCGGTATCAGTAACAGTATTGGCAACAGCATCATTAACAGTCAAGAAGTTACTTTATTAAACCAAATCTAGTAGGAAGATTTGAGACACACAAATCGGATATAGTTCACACATGATGTACTATAGTTTAGCAACTAACTTAGAGATCATCAAGCTATGATTAAGGGACTGCCATAAACTACAATCAAGATATGCTGTAAGATAGGTGAGGGATTGTCAAAAAATATAGGGATTCACTTATATCAAAATTTTCAAACAAACATGTTTCATATAAATGAAAGTGAAGGTAACGGTCTTCACTAAGAAGAACTAAAGTAGTACACAAGTTTCCTCACTCTTCCTTCCGTATTATTTCTTCCCTTCTCTCTTCTCATCTGTTTTTAATGTTTCTTCAATATATAAATAAAAGTCATTATGTCTCGAGAAAAGATTTTACACATCAATTTTCATCTTAAATTTGACCTGTGATTGTAGCTAATCATTTTTTTTAGGAAAAGGAAATTCAATCTCATATTCTTTAAGCAGTTAAATTATATACTAATCAATAAGTCAAATGTTCGAGTGCATAATTAATCCATTTTAATATATTAGTTGGTTTTTTGAAATAATACTTTACTTTGTTTTTATATATTAGTAGTAAGGTTATCATTATGGATTGAATAACTATATTCCATTTATAAACAATTATTTCTTGATTTTGATGAAATTTTATGAAAAATATATCACGTGATATCAGTAATTAGAGAGTTTTTCCTAAAGAATTAAAATGTTGGCTGCTTAAAGCAAAAATGTCTTAATTATATCCCTTGCAGCGAGCTCTTCAAGGCCTCACTCAATTTTAAAGTTTTTTTTTAATTTTTTTATTTATATTATTATTTATATTTATATTTTTTTATACTATTTGTTCATATATTTTAAGTTTTTATATATTTATTTCTCCAAATTTTTATGAACCATCAATTATATTCTTTTTTCTTTTTTTTTATGTTATGTATGGATTCCATCTTTTACTTGTCATGTTTGTTTTTTTTTCTCATATATGGATTTTATTTTTCATAATTTTAATCTTTAAAAATTAATAAATTATTATGTAATTCTTAAAAAAAAGTTGTAGTGTGGCATTGTTACTTAAAATTTCATTAATATATCATTTTTTAATTAATTCTTATTATGTAAGAGGAAATTATCTTGAGTATATCGTTTTTATATGCTTTACGTTTTATATTTAGTTGAAAGAAAATTATCTTGAATATATAGACTTTACACAATCCTAATTATATAAAAAGAAATTATTAATCTTGTATATTATATTTAATTATTTACATTTCATGCATTATAGCTTTATGTAGTTTGAAAATAATTGGAAAATTTTTTAAAAGAAAAGATGCAAATCATCCAAATGATTTTTTTATACTTGAGCTATCAAGCTTCAATGTTTCAATTCATAAACAAAAGTAATGTGAATCCAAATGTCCAACACTCAATCCTAAAGAAATGGATTTTTTCAGTAGATAATTTTTAATTGATGAATTTGAATTCAAAAAATATAGTCAAGTACAACTTTCTTAAAAAACTATTATAAATTTTTCTTTTTTTAATTTACATGCTATGTAAAATTATTTTCTATTATCAATTTTTTAATTATTGATTAAATTCAATATATTAGTTTTTAAAATTTTTAATCTATGTTTCTTTGTCTGTGGCCTCCTCAATAAACATTTGCTAGCTCTGCCCTTGGAGCTCTTATCTTTAAAGATAAATTTTAAGTGATAAAAGAAGTAAAAGAATTAATAATATACTCACAGAAATCATTAGTAAACTGATTTAGACTTGAACATTAACTAATAACTTGTCACTTAATTTCATCAATCAAACTAAGGAACATCAAACATCAAATAGCACAAGTATAGAAGTAAACATGCAATAATGTTGTCTTGTCAAACTAAAGTAATTGTGGTGTTTGATATAGAATGTGATTTTCAAATGCTTTAATTTCTGTTCGCCATATTCAGCTTGTCTTGAATGAGGTTATGAAACAGATATTTCCCGCAATTTACATTTGAAAACAACATCAAATGTCCCTAATATATAATTGTAATAGAGTAATCAACATTCTTTTGATTCATATTTTGCCTATTAAAAATGCTCTTTCATTACCTTTCAAAAAAAAAAAAGCTCTTTCATTTTCTTTTATAGCTAATTTTTATAGTTTAATTAAAGTCATGGGGGTTTTCCAAGTCAAGCTGCATGAAAGAGACACAGCTAGTGAGAAATTCTTTTGTATAACAGACCAATTTAGCCAAAAGAAAGCTATATTATAGAGTAATCTGGTTAGGTTAAAGTAGTAATCATGTCTCCAGCAGTAATACATTGACATTCATTTCAAAAAAATTTTGAGCATATTGTTCATGAAGATCTATCGATGTGATTTGACCACTGTTGGAGGGATTTGGTTTTGTATCTAATTCTACATATGTTTGACCTACAGATTTTCCAACCATATACATTGCTTGTGTGCATATTATAGCTTACTTCCAAGTATAATAATGTCTCTTCTCATGCTGGGTTTATACGTGTGTGTGTGTGTCCTTACTAAAAGAAATTACATTGATTTTGGAACCTACATCAGAATTTATCTTGTTAATGAGTACTTTCAAAACTGTACTCATTAAACTTTTTCATTAGCAAAATTGCTTTGTGGCTTTAGTTGTGAAAGGTTAAAGGGGTTGATTGGGGGTGGGTTTTGAAGGCAAATCTTGCTGAGGAAAAGTATTTTCATGTGCAATCTCATCCTAGTTTATGATGCATGTTGATCATGCATACTGTATGTTTGTGTGTGGTCAAAGTGAGAAAGAAGGCACAAACTGAATGCCTTCTAAAAGGATCTTTCATGAGGCATTGGAATATGGATAGAAGGGAGGGTAAGAAAAACTTTGTTATGAAGAAATTGCATACTTGAAAACATCTAGGAAGAGACTTTAATTCCATCTTAAAAAGGCCAATGAATTCAACCAAGGTGTTTCTTGTTACTTTATTTTCCTTTGTTTTGGTTCATCTAAACCCCCCCTAAGTTCAACCCTTTCCCTATTTATTAGAGTGACTTACATCAAGCTTTCACGCTAAGTAGCATGTGATTTTAACCCCCAAACACATCTTTAATGAAAAAAAAAATTGCCTTCTTTCCTCTCTCTTTTACTATTCTTTTTTTTTTTTTGTTTTAAAGTTCTCCCTTTTATTTCCGTGATATTTATACTTCTATTTTGTTAATTTATTGGAAACTTCTTTGCCTAATTTGATGGGTAATCGTAAGTCCTCCACCGACTTGGACAACAAAGCCTAACGCCCAATTCTTGTAAAAATGGCCTCAATTTTTCCTATTACTTAGTCAAAAAATTCTCCCAACTAATTATATCTTTCCTAACCTAGACTTTCAAGTTCAACCCTTAAAAAAAATAAAACAAAAATCAATAAAATAAATAAAGGAGTAAACAATCAATTTAACCCAATTTTTATTCCCTCTCCGACTCGCAAACTTTGCGCACTAAATGCAAGGCAAAAACCGACCTTTCAACTAAATCAAAACCTTGTCTCTAAAATCTCTCATGTAACGGTCCTCAGAATTCTAAGGCTTAAGCAACCGAAGATTAGCTCAAAAAACACCTTAGTAGCTGACATGTTCCTTTCTTCCCTCCCCTTGTTACTATTATTTTTCATTAAGTTAAACCTCACTTAATTAGGTCAGATTTCAACTTCTTTTGATCCTAATTTTCATGCAAAATCTTGAATTTCATCATGTTTTTGGGGTTTGGGTTTCTTTTTTTACAGGTGAAAAGTCCATTTTTGAATCAAAACTTTCAAAGTTAAAATCAGAGTTCCCATGAACTTCTACCGCTCTGTTTCTTGCTCCGTTCTTTTTGCTTCAACTTGAAAAAAAGAGATTGATGGGTTATATTGATGGGTACCCAGAAGAAGTTTTTGATCAATACCCATTTTTTTTTGGAATAATATGAGTTCGTTTAAGGTGCTTCTCTTTCAAAAAATGCTTCCTTTTGGTGGGTTCTTGGTCTCCATCTCTGCCCTGTTTTTCTCTCTGTTTGATTTCTTCGGCAAACTTTTATCCAGGTAAAGCGATTTTGACTTCACTTTGGGTTTTTAAACAATGAAACTCATTGTTTTTCCGTTCTTGTATTATTATTTTTTAATTTTTTCTTCTTTCAGGATTCAAAGAAATAAGCTTTCTCAATCAAACAATCAGATTCATATTGAGGCAGAGGAAGAAGCAGAGGAAACCAAAAATGATGCTTCTGAATTGAAGGAGACAGAGAGTGACGTGGTTGAAGAAAAGGAGTCACCAAAGTTCTTTTTCAAGTTTCAGTTTCAAACTCAGACTTTTGAAGAATTTAGCAGGAAGTTTAGAGGAGATGAGAATTATAATGTGGGCCTGGAATCGAGTCCTTCTACAAGCACAAACAAGTATGAGTTCAAGTCGGGGAAGGATTTCAGCTGTATTTTTGAGAAGCCAGAGGATTTGACCTTTTGTGTTACAGAATTTTATGCTAATTCAAAAAATGGGTTCTTGTCAGAAAAGGATTTCATGGAACGAAATTTGAAGGATGAAGCAGTGCCTGAAGTAACAGAGAAGGAAGACAAAGTGCCAGAGAAGAGTCTGCTCGAAGCAGAACAAAGTGAAGAAACGGTTTGTGAAGAAGATGCGGTTGGTGAGGAGAATAATTTGCCAAATCAACAAGAAGTTTCAGGGAATTTTCAGTTTTTTTCTGAGAAAGACTTCACTATTTCGGAGGCTGAGACGGATTCGATCACTTCAAGTCCTGAGTATATGAGTCAATTTATTGGTTCAACTAGTGATGGATTTTTATCAGATAGAGATTTTGAAGAAGATTTTGAGGCTGATTGTTTAAGGAACATTGGTAAAGATGTGGGAGACTTAACTAAGGAAGATTTTGACATGCAGGAAGCTGATGATTTTGATACGGAAGATAGAGATATAATGGAAGAGCTAAGAAAATTAGAAGAGTCTCAAAAATGGAATGAGGACTCCAAGCAAGAAGAAGTTAGTGCCAATAACAATGGATCCGGAAATACCTTGGATAATTCAAAAAATTCCAATTTAGATAATTCATATGCATCGGATTCTGATGATTCAAATGGATTGGAGACTTTGTGGGAGCATCAGGATCTGATAGAACAGCTCAAGATGGAGTTGAAAAAGGTTAGAGCCATAGGCCTGCCTACTATCTTAGAAGAATCAGAGTCTCCAAAGATAATGGATGACTTGAAGCCTTGGAAGATTGATGAGAAGTTCCATCATGTAGATAGAATGAGTGAGCTTCACAAATTCTACAAAAGTTACAGAGAAAGAATGCGAAAATTCGATATCCTCAATTACCAGAAGATGTATGCAATAGGTCAGTATCCTTTTACTATTTACCAAACGTTTTTCATTTTGCTTAGCCAAAAAAAAAAAAAAAAAGAAGAAGGGTTTTTCATTTAATTGTAGCATGTAGATAATTATATTGTTCAAGCATTTATTTATCTTTTCGTTTATCCGATGTCGTGTTTGAAAAATTCTATGTGTAATTATGAACCATCTTCCTGCTGAAGTGCTTATCTTTTTCTAGTTAATCAATCAAAATGAAAAACACATTCCACCTTTAGCAGTCTTTTGGAAGTTAGCCAAAAGGACCCACTAAATCTGCTAAGTTGGGTTAAGCAGAAGCAGAGCCTTATCAAAGCCTAAGCCTTGGTGAAATGATTACATGAAAGTAGGAGGACAAAGGAGGGATCTATATACTAGTTCATATTGCCTTTCGATTGTTTGAGAGGATGCTTCGCTTTTAGGGTTTGAAGGGAGAAAAAGACTTTATGCAAAAACGCGTATAAATGTTCATACTTGCAGGAGTGTTTCTGATGTGTAAGCCCTTTCTGCTAAAGCTTTTTGAATTGTTCTACAAATTTAATTATGAATAATGTAGGAAAGAATAGCCTGTGTAGATCAAACTAACCCATTTTTCCTTTATGACAGTATTTTTAGTTAGTTGATGGTGGTATCTACGTCTTTGGTGCTATCCTGCCAACCCTTAGATTCAGCCTAGTTCCACAATTTCATTTAAGACACCGTCCTATTATGGGAATGCTTTACCTAACTCTCAATTACTACCGAATTGTGATAAAAAAAATCTGCAGTATGGGTTTAATGCTCCACTAGGCCTTTCTCATGGCTGGTTTTTTTGGTGTAAAAAGTACTTTAAAATTTAGATGATAGAAACAAGACAACTTGGAAAGCTATGTTGCATGTAAAATACTTGATAAATAAGTGACTTTTTAGGTTATGATTTATGTATAGGTGGCCAATTACATCTACTTTATTCCTTTTCCATTAAATTTTATTTTAAGTTTCATTTAAAGTAATCTGTCCCTCGTGTTTCTTCACAATTCGTAGGCTTTCTTCAGTCAAAGGATCCACTTCAATCAATTTCAAACCACAAATCATCCTCACCTCCAGCAATCACATCTCTTCTCTCCCAGAACCTTAGGCTAGGAAGGCAGAAAAAGTCCAAGCTCGACCCCATGAAAAAGTTCATTAAGGAGCTGCATAGTGATTTGGAAATCGTCTATGTAGGCCAACTGTGTCTTTCTTGGGAAATACTGCATTGGCAATATGAGAAGGCAATTGAAATATGGGAATCAGATCCTTATGGCATACGTCAATACAATGAAGTTGCCGGTGAGTTTCAACAGTTTCAAGTGCTGATGCAAAGATTTATAGAGAATGAGCCCTTTGAAGGGCCAAGGGTTCAGAACTATGTTAAAAATCGATGTGTTCTACGTAATCTCCTTCAAGTTCCAGTTATCAGAGGCAAGTTCTCTTAATCCTTTAAATGATGTATGAAGCATTGTCGATAGACTGAGATGGTGACAACATATCCGGTTGTTGCATGTCTCTCAATCCAATTAGGCCCCTTTGAGCTAAGTGGGGCCATTGGCAACCACAACTCATTGAGTACTTACTTTCTTGATTGCGAAGCAAAATTAAGTTTAGGAAACATTAGCTAATACAAGCTTTATTCTCCTGTAGAGGATAGCATGAAGGATAAAAGGAAGGCTAGAAGAAAGGGAAGAGATGATGATGCAATTTCAAGTGACATGCTCGTAGAGATCATGGAAGAATCAATAAGAATATTTTGGCGATTTGTTCGAGCTGATAAAGACGCAAATTTTGTGATCCAGCAGACCAGGAAAGGAACTCAAGTAGAACCCTTAGATCCAGCAGATCTTGAACTTCTAGCTGAAGTTCAAACAAGTCTACAAAAGGTTAGCCTTTCCAAAGCTTTTATCAAAACCCCTAGAAATGGTGTACTCTTATTTGTTTTTAACATGTTTTCTATTGGAATTGCAGAAGGATAGGAAGCTTAAAGATATACTAAGAAGTGGAAACTGCATATTAAGAAAATTCAGAAAGAATCAAGAAGAGAGTTCAGATCAAGTCCTTTATTTCTTCTCTCAAGTGGATTTGAAATTGGTGGCAAGAGTTTTGAACACGTCAAAAGTAACCAAGGATCAGCTTTTATGGTGCCACAGCAAATTGAGCAAGATTAGTTTTGTTAATAGGAAGATAAATGTAGAACCATCGTTTTCGCTTTTCCCATGTTAATATCTAAAGATAATATAGCCATTTTTCTTGTTGCAGCGCCTGTTTCATATGCTTTTCAAAATTTTGGTATATCTAAGAAGGTAAGGCCCATTAAACCCAAACAAGCCTCATATTATAAACAATATAAATATAAACACACATCATATAGCATTTCGTAGTGAGTATATGTCTCAACTCATATGCATATATTTCATGTCTCAAGTGATAATTAAATTGTGTTGTCCCGTTTTGTAGTGGGATCGTAACTTGTGCATGGGTGTAACCCGATAAGCCCAAGCAAGTCTCTTTACATATATTTGTTAAACATTCTTTATCATACAATAACACATTCGGTAATTCAGTCTACATGCATCCATCCTTAGGGGTCACACGACCCAACCTATATCACGAGCTGAAACTTAACCCCAACCACATGAGGTCTTAAACTCTGAAAATATAATTTAAGTAAGTCTATAACATGCATTCATCCATATGCATCGCATGACTCAATCTATATCATGGACTAAAACTTAAGCCCAACCTTGTAAGGTCTTAAACTCTCAAAATAAAATTTAAATAAGTTTATAAATCACATGCTTATATTTTCAACCTAAAAAACATGTTTGATATTTGTGAAAGATTTATATTAATATACCCAAAATACACCTTATCTCTTATTAATGTAAGATCCGTGATATTCTACCTCACCCAATTATATAAGGTTCTCATTGCACTGGTTCTTTTCCTATAGAAGAAAAGAACTCTTATACTAGTACCTAACCCTTGTATCTCTCATGAGAGCCAGATTAATAAAGATCCGAATCTACTCTAAACTTTGAAAATAAAGTTTAAGTAAACCTATAAATCACAAGCTCACATTTTCAATCCAAAAAACATGTTTGATAGATGATGGAAGACTCATATTTATATACTTAAAATCTATCTAATCTCTTATTAATATGAGATCTGTGATAACCTAAACCATCCAATTATCATTCTTAGATAACATATGTATGCTAACTTTTGAGTACTAGTACTTGTTATCCATGTGCTGCATGTGAAATATATATTTTTTTAATTTTTAATAATAATTATATATAATTAAAAATATCTTTAAAGTACAACATTTGAAATATAAATAATTTAACTTATATTACTTTATAAATTATTCAATAGTATTAGAATTAAAAAATATATTTTTAATTAAAATATTTCATACAATTAAAATTTTTATTTAAAAATTAAATAAATTTTATTAACATTTATAATACAAAAATTAAAATGACAATTTGAAAATAAAATTGAACTTTTTATCTCATTAATAATTGCATTTACTTCTTAACTTGAATTTCAAATTTTATGTGATATTATAACATACTCTTATAAGTTTCTCCATATTCGAACCATTATATATATATATATATATATATATGAATTGTTAACAGTAAATTATAAAAAAATAAATAATATCAAAATAAATTATAGATAAATTGTTTTGAATCTAAAATTTTGAAGCCTCAAAAGGAAAAGATATTCTTGAACCCAAACTTATTTAAAAGAGAAATATTCATATTTAAACTCTACTGTTGCATTTAAGTATTTGGTTTATTAGTTAGTGCATTATTCTCTATCTAAACAGTAGAATTCGATTATTTTCTCTTCCAATTTTTATATATATATATATATATATAAACTTTACCGTCTCCAAACACAATTACTTTTTTTTTTTAGAATTACCTTAATTACTTATTAAATACTCAAATAACCATTAAACTAGAAAAAAAAAAAAGTTAAACCATCAACTATTTTAGCTTTAAAACAGAAAAAACACGTGCATAATCTCAACCGTTGATAAACAAAACCCAAAATTAGATCCGTTAGATCTAGGGCTTCCATCCAAAAGAATCCATATTTATACATTCTCTTCTCCCATTCTAAGCCCTTTGGTCTCGCTCTGTCTCTCTTGTCTTCGCGTAAACGGAGCAGAGAAAATAAAACCCAAAACTTTAAAAACCACAAAAATGGTTCAGAGACTTACTTATCGTACTCGCCATAGCTATGCTACCAAATCGAACCAACATCGTGTCGTTAAGACGCCTGGTAAGTGTTAATATCGAAAAGGATGCCGCTTGGGTGCTCTGTTTTTTTCTTTACATATATATATATGTGTGAAAATAATGATGTTTTTTTCTTTTTGAAGGTGGGAAATTGGTTTATCAGACTACTAAGAAGAGAGCAAGTGGGCCTAAGTGTCCTGTTACTGGCAAGAGAATTCAGGGTGTAAGTACAAAAAAATTCATTGTGTTTTTTATTCGGTTAAGTTGGATTTTTGGGTTGGAATATTTAGTTTTTATTGTTGGGTTGATCGAATGAGTATGAAATGCGGGTACCCTATTGTTCTTGTCATTGAGAAATGATGATATGGGAATACAAATAATCATTGTCTATCTGTTTATATTCATTTTGTGTTCCGAATTAAGCATAAATTTTGATCCTTTGAGTTATTTGAGATCATCGTTAAGATGTAAGTGTTATAAAATGGGCAATAATGATCGTTAGTTGTTTCTATGTTGCTACTTTTGTTTAAACTTATTGCCGTTGCTGATAGTGTACTGTGGATATAATTCCATTTTCACGGATTTAAATATGAAAGTAAACCTTGTTGGTCAAAAAATGTATTAATTTGTGATTACTTTGATCATTCCTAATGTTGCACTTTCATAAATGGTGGAACCCTCAAAGGCATTTTACTTGAAAGCAATGGATAAACTGTGGAACTGTATAGTACCATACTTATTGCTATTAAGTGGATATATAAAACCTTTTCAATGTATATGGAAATTATTGTTTTGTGGCAGTCTATCATTTAATGTTTCTCAGTCAAGTAGTCTATTTTGGTCTTAGTGAAACACGTGATTAGTCAGATTCTAGTTGTGAAGTTTTGAACATTCTCTCAGATTTTTCTGATATGGTTCTATGCAGATTCCTCACTTGAGACCTGCTGAATACAAGAGGTCTAGATTGCCTAGGAACCGCAGGACTGTGAATCGTGCCTATGGTGGTGTTTTGTCTGGAAGTGCTGTTAGAGAGAGGTACTGTTATGTGGATTATTTGATAGCTGTTAAATGGATGCTACCGTTGTTTTTTGTTCATTGCCATTGATGCAAATATAATTCTTGTCTTGCTGTGTTTTATCTTTCTAAGGATAATTCGCGCCTTCTTGGTGGAAGAGCAAAAAATTGTGAAGAAGGTTCTGAAGATCCAAAAAACAAAGGAAAAGCAAGCCTCGAAGAGCTAGGATTCTGGATGTTTGTGAAGCTAAATTGTGTTTGGGTTGTTAGATCCACCTGAGAGAAATTTTGGTTGTTATTATGGTGATGATGAAATGTGGAACTGAACTTCAATGTTTTTCTTTTTGTTTGTTCGATACTTATTAATTTGCTGCTTGTTCACTTGACGACAAATCAATTGCTAATTTTGTTTTAGTGATATGGTTTATGCTGAGTTGGTTTCTTTTCCGTTTCGCCCCTTAATCTTTGTTATTTTTCTATCCTCATTAGTTTCTAAGAAAGTAAAAATTCAGCTGGTTTGAGTTTACTTGGTGTCTGTTAAAAAGGTGTTCACAGTTGGGAAATATCTCAACCGCTTGTAGGTAGGTTTCACATACTTGAAGTTGGATTGTGTATGCTTCCCTTCTACTATAAATTCATCCATAACAACCAGTTTCAACTTCCTTTTACATTATCTCAGAAAATGGAATAGGTGATCGTTTTTATGCTCTGAAGGACCATATTGAGTAAATTTCTCAATCAGGATAATAGTAGAGTTAGAAAATATATAGCTGCTTATGCCTAGATTGCTGATAGATTAAAATTTTTAGCGTTTGATATTGTTATTTCACCCTGGGAGATAAAGAAGAATCAATTAGAATTTGGAAGGTGGCAATACTGCCGTTTATCCACATGACAGTCCCCAGCGCTGGACAGTCTTGCATAATATCTGAGAATATTAAAAGAAGCTTTAACTGAAAATCTATCAAAGATCAATCTGGCTCATCAGAAGTTAGGCTCACTCCCAAAAGAATCCCCAATCAGAGTTTTGGCATTTGTTTCCTCTCAGAAAAGCCCAATCCTTTTGATCTGAAGAAAACGAAGCCCAATCAGAATTTAGGCTTTTTCTTCCTCTCAAAAAGGCCCAATCCTCTTAATCAGAAGTAAAGAGAGATAATTTGTCAAGAATGGGATTCGAACCCATGCCCTTTCGGACCAGTACCTGAAACTGGCGTCTTAGACCAACTCGGCCATCTTAACGGATAATCCTGTGCTTAAATGCTGATAGATCGCTATTGTTAACGGGTTCCTGGAATTAGCATGTCGATAAGTACCATTTACCGTCCATAATTTTGTCCTCTCATTTAGTAAAGAACTAGAATAAGATCCGCCCTAGGCAGGGTGTGTAAAATTTAATGAATAATTGTATAAAAAATGAATAAAATTTAATAAAAAATTAAATGAAAAGAAATTAAAGTTAGTTATTAGTAAAAATCAGTTATTGTTTGTGATAATTTTTAATATCTTAATTTTTGTAGATTGTTTTAATGAAAAGAAAGTTTATATTGAGGGTAAAAAAGAAACTGAAACAATTTTTTTTAAAAAAAAAAACTGAAATAATAAAAGATATACAAATGAACAGAATTTAGGACATAATAGACAAATTTTATACAATATACAAAAAATGGTGTTGATTTACTAATGAGAGCATAATCTTATCCAATTGCAGCAGATGTAAGTTTTTTGTTGAAGTAGCTAAAACCTGTCTAATACTAGTCTTAACGTGCTACACAGTGTACAATCAAAAGATCAATTGCTAGTGTTTAAGGTTGCTTGTAACAAATGTACATACTGAAGGAATGCTTCATTTTTGTATAGCGCGTCATTATTTGTACACCTTGGGTCCTGAAACACAAAACTAAAAAAAAAAAAAAAAATGATTGAGAAATAATAGCTAAAATCAAAGAGAAAAATCAAATATTGGAAGCAAAGATACTAAGCCTAGTTTCATTGGCCTTATCCGCTGTCAATGCTCTAATAGTGATTCTATAATCTGTGAAGAGAAAGGTCGTAAGAAGAAAGTCCAACAGGAGAACTAATCTCATATAGCATAGTGTGGAGGAGAGCTTTCGATTGGATAAATCCGCTCAAAATTACGTTGATTTGACTCTTATTGAATGAACAAAGTATTTCTTAGCATGACATAAGTTAAAATTACCCCTGCATGCAGTGATATAGCGAACAATCAAGACATAAGTTCATAGATCATGAACAAAATAAAAACAGAATATTTGCAGCTGAATAAATAACAAATAAAGAAACTAAGAATGCATATCTAACCAAATTTTTAACTGAGTCGAATTAACTGAATTTATCGATTAATTCGGTTTTGATCCAGTTTTACTCACCCCTAAATGAGAGGGAAGAAAAAATAAAAAAAAAACTTAAAGTTCGAAATTACCCTTCCATTTAAAGCAAACAATGGAAGAGTCAGAATTTTTTAAGCATTACAATCATAAAGAGCATAAATATGAAAGTTTAATAGGGCACTAATCTACCTTAAAGTAATTAAAATTTTTAACAGCTAGTTTGCCTTGGAATTGATGGAAAATAAAGACGTGATGACAAATTTGATGAACTTGAATTGAAAATGAGATATCCACACAAAAAGGAGATGCTCAAAAAGAAAAAAAAAAAGAAAAAAGAAATCAAATTGCTCATAACAAACTTTAATCCCTTGTAGGAGATGTACTTTCAACCTAACTAAAATCAAGTTGAGCTCTTACATCGTAGTAATTTAAAGCTGTGTAATCTATTGTAATGTAGTACAATTTGGTCCAATGATTCACAACAATCGATTTAGAAATAGTATTTGTGCTTTATTTTTGATAAAATGACTGGAGAGTACTTTCAATAAGTATGACCTGAATATACATCCTGTTGTAAAGCAGGTAAGAGAAAATTAGGAGCAGTATGAAACCATGACTGGATAGTTTCCACCAAGAAGCCATACATGGCCAGCCAATGAGCAACAGAATTTGCCTCCTGCCGGACATGCAAAAATTTGCAATTCCTGAAAGTTGCAGCAATTCCTTTAACCTCATTCAGCAGTTGATGATAAGGAAAAGCAAGCCAGCTATTACCAGGCTTCTGCAACTCCGTAATGACAAACAAAGAATCAGACCTAACCTCTACCTCCTGTAACTTCTTCCTATTAGCTAACCTCAAACCCTCCTTGATAGCACTAATTTCTGCAATTATTGCCTGCTGGCATGCTGCTAACTTCCCTGAAAATGCTGCCAGAAAATAGCCTTCTTGGGTTCTTATCACTGCCCCAAAACCTGCCTGGTGAGAGGAAGCTGAGAATGCCCCTGCACAATTAATCTTGAGAACCGCAGCTGAAGGAGGAGACACATACCCTGGCCATTGTATTTGATGCTCGAATGTGACCTTAAAATGATCCAAACTGCTTCTCGGATAATATGGCAGCTGAAAAATTAATAGCATTAAATTTTCTTCAAGTGTTCAATTTGGTTAAAATAAATTTGTTGATGATCCAAAGATTTATACCAAGGAAAATTCAGAAACATGAAACAAGGATACAAGTGACAGTAGTACCAGACACAGCTACTTTCACTTGAACAATATGTAGTTCTCACCATTGTACTCTGCCTATTCACTTGGACATCCAATGATCCAGAAGCCCCAGTATTTGAAGTGTTTGCCTGCATCGATGAGAGTCAGTGCTTGCTATTGGTGATTCAGGCAGAAAATTGGGAATTCAGGCTGTCTTTTTAATTTCCTAAGTCCTAGAGTTTATGAATCAAGGAACCATTTGTTTGATAATCTCAATATTTCAGACAGTATGGAAGCCTTTGCCGCACCATCAAATACGATAATAGAATCATTCTTGTTGATTGTGAAGTCAAGTTGATTCAGTGAAAATAATTTTGGAGGGGAATTCTTTCAAAGCCATTTGTTCAATTAGCAGATGCATTGATCTAATAGATTGGCGGTTTTTTTTTTCAACCTCTATTTATGATTTGACTGATACCTAATGTAACACTGTGCTGTGTGCACTACTGTGTAAATGCTGCCCCCCTCTGTCTCTGATGATCCCCTTTATTGTACATGACAAGTTGAAGAGTGTGAATGCTGCATTGGTATACAGAAATTTCTTCCATTTAAAAAATTTAAGCAAGCAAAGCATATGCTGTGTTTAGTACTAATTAATCGAATGTATATCATTACCCTAAGCCACTTAGGAGGGTAAAGGTGTCGATTTGCTTGAACATCATCACGCGCCAGGAAAGCTCTTCGACTAAAAGTATCCTCCTGCATCAGGCCAACTTAAAAACTTTAATCAATGATGTGGGTGAAAACAGAAGCTTGAAATATCTACTCACTTTGCATGAAGGGTTGAGAAGAAAGAAGCTCTGACCGATGTAGGGCGACTGGATCTAGAACCAACACTCTGGATTGCACGGCGTGAAAGCGTTTCAGCTCTTTTCATCGAGCTGGAAGCGCTTGATCGGATGTCAGTGGTGTTGGTTCTGTAACTTGGAATTGCACAACGTGAAAGCAAGTCAGCAGTTGTCATCCAGCTGGAAGCGTCTGATCGGGAGTCAAAGGTGTTTGTTCTAGAGCTGGGAAGCGACTCACAGCTTCCTGTACGTGAAATATTTCCCTGTATCAAGTCAAATTAGTTATTATTCTTAAATTATTGGTAAGAATATGATTTCCAGGCAGTTTTTCTTAAGCTTTTCTCTGTATTAGACGTCTTGCGTTCAGATGTCATTTCGTTTATGATTGTTTATATTCTAAAACCATTTGGAGGAATGTGCTCCAAAGAAGAAGCTCTCACCATGCTGGAAGCATTAGATCTGCTCTGCTTGTAGTAAGGCGTATCGGACATGAAACTTGAATTCCTTCCCTGCATCCAGAGCAGTTGGCTCTAAATATTGTAAATTCGTGCTGAAAATGAAGTGTAAGTGATACTCTCTTAAATGTTATAAGGTCTCCCAATCCCCCAAATCTAACATAAATGATAAGATTTAGTTTCATCACCCACGCATATTGATCCACTTATCCCTCTTAATGGTTCTGTCATTACATAAATTGTTTGGAGGCATGTTCTCACCATGCTGGAGGCATTTGACACCGTATAAAAGCTCGAGTGTGTTGCTGTAGTTCCTGTGTACGATTCTTTACCCTGCATCAAGTCAAGCAATTACTACCTGCTGTAAATATGTGGTGAATATATATTGGCATGGAAAGGTTCAATCTACATATTTAGAAAAAGAAAGATGCCAGCCATTAACAAGTATCAAGCTACATAATTAAGAAGGTTTAAAGTGCTTCTGGATTATTTGACTCTCAAGAATAGCTAAATCTCTGTAATATACACTTCTTATTCTTCCTCTTGAAATCTAGATTTAGTTGAACTAAAAGTTATGAATTAACTTGAG